TTGTGTGTGGGCAGGGAAGACTGGACTAGTAGGGCTCACACATGCTTACTCAGAACCCCTGGATCCCTCTGTTCTTCAGGACTGCTTTGTGCCCTCCCAAACCTCTCACAGACTCTTTCTGAAACAAGGAAGAATACTGTGGCTTGAGCTGCACCAGATACTTGGAGCAACTTTTCCCCTGGGGTCTCCTTATAACTAAGAAAACTACTTGAGTTTTTGTATTGGCTAAATGTGCTTAACTGGTAACAATTAAAAAGTCCCATTTAATTTTTAAGCTTTTTCTAGTTAAAATCTTATTGTATTGTAACTTGATGGTAGATGATTCTAGAATGATTAAACGCCCAGGTTGATTATTCAAGCTTTATAATTCTGCCAGATACTAGAGTGACCTCTTGACAATGAATCAAAAATGTGCATAGTGGCTTTACATGGAGAGCTTTGGAGGAGGAAAAAACAAGGAATTAAAAAGGTTGCCTGCAGATTTCCCACGGCTCCACAAAAAGAAAAATTTATCTAAAATAATAATAACAGACCACTCTGGGTAACTCAGTGAAACCCTGTCTCAAAATAAGAAGCAGACTTCAGAAGAGTTAAGTCAGTAAAGTGCTTGCTATGTAAGCATGAGGATTGAAGTTTGAATCCTAAGCAAACATGCAAAACTCCAGGTGCATTTGTAATCCCAGCATTAGGGAATCAGAAATGGAAGGAGCCATAGACTCACTAGAGTGGTATGAGCAGGTCCCCAAATCCCCACAATGGGTTCTTGCTTGCGACAGGGTTGCTCATGTCCCTAGCATGTGACTAGTTTAGAGTACCTCTAAGCACTAATGTCATTGCTGAGAGGTCCATGTCTGGCAAAACATTAACTGGTCTACCTTCTCCCCTAAAAGTCACAGTCTATGGCATCAGGTATGTTCATGGGTTTCCAGTGCAGTTGACTGAATGTGTTCAGTGTGAAACAGAAAATCCAGCTGTGTGTTTGCTAGATTGAATGTGGAGGTTTGGGGCTTAAAGGCGAGCTGAAACAAAAGTGAAAAGTGATGGCATACACCCTTAATCCCAGCAGAGGCAGGCTGATCTCTGAAATCAAGGCCAGCCTGGTCTACAGAGTTAGTTCCAGGACAGCCAGGACTACATAGAGAAACTTTGTCTTTGAGGGTGAGGGCTGGGTATAAAACCTGTCAGCCACAGCAGCCTTCTAGGTCTGGCAATAAAATGAAAGCAAGAGAAGTGCTGAGTGGCCAATAGGCCACACACACACACACATACAAAGGTGTCTCTCTCTCTCTCTCTCTCTCTCTCTCTCTCTCTCTCTTCCCCTCTCCCTCCAACAATATCAATATACTACTTGAAAGTTCAGCGTCATGTGTGGCCATCCTGAACCACACCTGGTGATTGTAAGATCACCCTTACATGAGCACTATACCTCTTCCAGAGCCAAGGTGCCCCTCAAGGCTCCAGCCAGCTGGCTGCATATGACCAAGATGTGCCCCACTGGAGTGGCTACTTTATTTTAAGTGACTCTCTTTTTCCAGGCTGAGTCACTCCTGCATGGCTATAAAAGGCAGTGGAACAGTGACTAAATGCACTTGGGTCCCAGCCACAGTTAAGTATTACTACCCTCTACTCCTTCCTTCTTATTTGCCTAACACAGGGGTCTTACTTTACCCCAGGCTGGCCTTAAACTCACAACAAGCCTCCTATCTCAGCCACCATAGTTCAGGGATTACAGACAAAAGTCCGAGTCCCAGTTTCGTCTTTCTTCTGACTCCACTTCCTGTTCTAATTCTACAACTCCACAAAAGGTTGAAAAGCAAAGATGTAGGGCTATCACTTCATCCTTGAAAACTCTTCCTCCCAACAGACAAAAAGCAGAGGTCTTTTCCCACGTCCAACCTGAAGCACAGAAATCATCGACAAATCTAGTCTCCTCCTAACATGGTGCAATCCTAGAAGAGACCTGTCCCAAGCCTAGCATTTTGAAACTGTTCAAGAATGTAAACATCTATCAGGTATGGAAGTGTAAACCTGCAATCCTAGAAGTCAAGAGGTGGAAACTGAAAATCAGGAGTTTAAGGAAAGTATTGATTACATACTGTGTTCAAGACCAACTGGGCTACATAAGACCCTATAAAAGACTAAAAGGCAGGGATATAGTTTGGTTGATAGGGTGCTTGCCTTGCCATGTACTCTCATCCCCCTATCTCCATTCCCAGACTTCATAAACCAACTAGATGTAGGTAATCCTAGCGCTCAGAGAGAGATGGAGGCAGGAGGTCCAGAAAACGCATTACCAGCCTTGGCTACAAAGTAAGTTGTAACTCTGCCTGGGCTGCATGAGAACTTATGGACTGGAGGAATAGAGGGAGGGAAGGGAAGAGGGAGAGGGAATCAATGTCTATGAATCAGAAAAGAGTTCAGGCCTAGAATTAAGATTCTGATCCCTGGAAATAAAAGCCAATTAACAACTGCTATTTTATATTAGGCACAGAGAATATTCCTTCACAAAATGGGCATGCCAAATCAGACATCAGAGCTCCTGCACTGCAGGGGGGGCAGTAAAGATGGATAAGGGACCCTCAGTGGTCAGGGCTCAGGATGAACTCTTCTCCAGAAGAAAGGAGCCAGGGAAGGCCATTTGTAAACAACACCATGAAATGAGGCACCTTTGGAAGTATGCTCCAGTGAACAAGAAATACCAAGATAAAAATGATGCACTGGCAGAATGGGAGATCCCTAGGAGCCACATAAAGCTGGATATGGCTGCACACATCTGTAATCCCAGTGAATCTATGTGATATGAGAAGCAAAGAAACAAAATGCCTGGACACTTACAGGACAGCTACCCTCTTGTAGACAGCATAAAACAAAATACCAGTCTCAAAGAAAGCAGAAGGTGAGGACCACCAATACTTAAGGTTGTCCACGCTCATGCCATGAGGCCATGGGAAGGGTACACCTCTATATTCTATACTCACACAGGGAGGAATGAACACACACACACACACGCATGTACACACGTGCGCACACGAACGCACTTTCTTCCCTTCTTATTTATTAAGCTAGAGGAAAACACGTTGGAGTGAGAAAAGACAATCAAGGAGTGGCCTGAAGAGCCCAGCTTTCAGTACAAAAGTTGCTTGGTCGAGACAAGCACCGAGACAGTTTTAGGATGGGTGGCAGTGCTTCCACTCAGGAATATGGCTCTCCTTTTTCTTAGTTGTCCCATTGAAAATGGCTGATGTGGTGCAAAGCTGAACAAAATAATCAGAATGCTCAGGCTCCTCCTAGAAGCACACCAGGCATTGAAGACTCTGATCTAGTCTTTGAAATAGATTTCAATCATCAAAGACCTGAAGCAAGGCCTGAGTTACAAGACAGTCAATGGCATGGCTTCTCTAAGAATGTGTGAGGCCATGTTTCATCCAAAGCACAGGGGAAAACAAAAACAATCACACAAATAAAGCAACCAACAAAAGTGAGCAGGATTGAGAGAGATTAAGAAAGACGTGGCTCTAACAAGGCTCAAAAAAGCAGAAGTGTTCATCTGCATGGAAGGTTACTGAGCCATCTGTGGCTCCTACAGAGAATGCTGTCACATGGGTATGTGTATGGTGCAAGGAAAGGACTTCTCTCGGCAGAAGATGCCAGTTATGGGATCCCAGCACTCAGCTTGCCACATGGCCATGGTCTACTGCCTGGTGGAAGAGACAAAAAAAAAAATAACTTTGAAGAAGAGGGATAGGAGTTCCTCCCCAGGACCCACTGTCTGGCACATGGACGGCATTCCATAAATATCTGCAAAATGATTAACTGTCAGCACAAACCACCTCGGGGAATATTTTAAACTAATAACTATTAAATTAGGTTTCTTTTTTCTTTTTTTTTTTTAAGTTCCCTTTATGAAGCAAAGATCCACTGCACCTATAAAGTATTCTACTTTCCAAGCTAATAATGGTTTGTTTTATTTTATTTTATTTTATATTAGATGAGACTGGGCATATTAGGCAAGCATCTTATTCCTAAGTAATGCCCCCAGTCCCCTCACTGGGGGACACTAGGCAAGCACTCTATTGTTGAACCACATGCCCCCAGCCCTATTTTTACTAACTATTTTAAGACAGGGCCTCACTAAGTTCCTTGGACTGGCCTTGAACTTGGTTTTTACCCCAGAAAGTCCTACAACTGAAGATCCTACTACCTCAGCTTTCTTCAATAGCTGGAAGGTAAGTATGTGGCATAAGACTGGACTCTTTTAAGTTATACAAACACACCATAGGTAGGAGGTGCCAGGTATACAAGTAGCCCTTCACAAGCTGAGCACCAGCATTAATCTCTTTGTTTCCTGACTACAGATACAATGGACCAGATACCCCAAGCTCCTGTGGTCAAGGCTTCTCTACCAGAGTGGACTGTACTCTCATATTGTAAGTCCAAGTAAACCCTTTTTTTCTTAAGTTGCCTTTGTCATGAAAGTGAACAAGTCACTAATACAACTCTCAACACATTCATAGAAGCTCAGGCTCTAGAAAGAGTCATGCACATCACCCTTACAACCTGTGTCAAGAAACATCAAAGTTTATAGCAGAAGAAATGAGGTTTTTTACCAGCAATATTGGTGCAATGCCATCTTCGAACACACTACTTGCCTAGCATCATGGAAATCAGCATGAAGCTCACTGTCCCACAATGGTCCTGGAAAGACTTCAGTTAACACCATCCTGACATACCAGAGGCTAAAACAGCAAATGGGCCTGACAATGCTCACGTGTCCAGCCTATATAATGCCTATACTTGGTATCAACAACTTGTCCACTGCCACATCCCATGGGTGAGGCATATATATACTCTGCCAGGGTAGAGTTGGAGGCAAGTGGAAAAAGCAGGCATCCTGCCATGTATTTTTTTCTGAAGAACTAAGAAATGTCTCAATAAGTATTCTAAATTATCCCAGGGGTCATGAGACCCCTTCTGAAGACTGCGACTCAGTCCCAGCTCACCTCTGGAGTGTTCTTCTTGAATTCTCGGCTCTGCTCAATGAGCCGTTTTCTGGACTGCTCACTCTCATCTTGCCTGTTTGCCAATACTGTTGCGGTGGCATCAAGTTCTCTCTGTGGGGAGATTGAGAAAGGAAAAGCAAGATTATAATTTGCAGTTTCTACCAGGAGGGCTCAAGTGGATGCTGGTGCTGAATAACAAGGAGAAACTCCTGGGAATGAATTCATGGGCAGGAAGTAAGCTCAAGGACAATGTTAAGGACCATAAGCATAACATACTCACTCAACACCAGTCCCAGACAGTAACTGGAGAGAACCAAATTTGTTCAGCATGCTGCACAAAGGATTCCTTCCTATGGTAACAACCACAGGAACAGTTTCCCTCCTAAACCTTAGTTGAGTCAATGCCCCCACATCTCTCCAGGCCATTCTCCTGAGTTCTCGTCCCCCTGCCTAACAGTGTTTGCCCCAAATAGATTCTACTATTCTGGCCAGCCTTCTACAGTGTGGACCTGAAACTTCAGGGAACAACAGTTGGTTTAGTTCCACTCAACAAATACTGCTTGAAAACTTATTCTAAGCCAGGCATCCCAATTGGATCCATTAATCTATTAGTTTGAGAAAGGAATTTTTAAAAAGCAAATTCCAAGAATAATTATCCCCACTGCCCTGTAAGCTTTTCAGAGGCACTGTTCACCAAGCATCCCACAGGCCTTGGAGTTTGAGGACCCCCAAAGTAGGTTACCAGAACACTGGCCAAGTCTGAGGACTCTGCTCTGAACAGCAATCAGTCGTACACAGTGTCAGAAAGCCCGTGTCCCAGCCCTAAGACTGGGAGAATCTGTCATAAGGAGCTGCCCAGAACAGCCCATGGCAGATGGGGCCCAGGATGGAGCTCCAGGCTCACAGCAGGTATACAGGCCATGTGGCTGCCCACTGAATGGCCTGCTGTCTCATATGCTAAGTCGAGTAAATTCAGTAACTGACTACACAGAGCAGAACATTCTGTGTGGCATTCAGTAACTGTTACAAGTGATTCCTCATCCACAGCAGGTCCCACTCTGTTCCTGGGAGAGCTAAAAGGCCAAGAAGGCCACCAAGATCCCATCTCCTGAGACAATTCATGACGGGGGGGGGGGGGGTTCTCATGTACCCCAGTTGGCCTCAGAATCATTATAAAGCTGAGGAGGCCCTGGAATTCCTGATCCTACAGTGTTTGTCTTTCTCCCAATTGTTGGGATTATAGGCATGTATTATGCAGTGCTGGGGCAGAACCCAGGACTTTATGTATACTGGGCAAGCACCCTACCAACTAAGCCATATTCCTAATCCCCCTCAGAAATTCTACAAGTCTTAAAAGGAATTGTGCAGTGCAGTTCCCTAGAGCTAGCAGCACTGGCATAAGAACATGGAGGGGTGCATGTAAGAGAACTGGTAGGCAATATATAGCAGGTTGCCCATCACTCAAAGCGCTCCTAGCTACCACCTGAGTAGCTAGGATGGGAGGTGAAAGTCAATTTGCCTTATAGAACTTTCCATGGGAATGTGAAGTGGGGTAAGGGGTAGATACCCCTGCTGAGAATGACCTTTAATTTCTGATCCTCCTGCCTCCTCCTTTGGAGTGCTAGAGTCACATGCATGTGCCACACACTATGTGGTGCTGGGAAGAAACCTAGGGTTTCCTACATACTAGGCACTTTATAGACTGAATAGCATTCTCAGCCCCCTGCTTCCTTTTTAGTGGAAACAACCCACTAGGCCAGAAAGCCATCCTGGGTGACACTTCCCTGGTACCATGATGGTGTGGCTCATGGCCAGACAAGATGACAGAGAGCTGGAACAACCAACCAGCATGCTGTCAACTTAGAAATCTTAAGACAGTTTAAATGTGGAGAGGGGAACTGTGAGGTGGGGAGAGGCCCTCATGCCACACTCCCTTTAGTATTTCTGGCATTCACACAAATCCTGGGTGAGCAAATCCAAAGGAATACTGTGGGCTAGCATTCAAGAACAGATGTCAAAGCTACTGCAGAAACGAGGGAAACACTGGGCGTTTTGATAGACCACATTTGAAAGTCATCCCAGAGAAGAGGAGGCAGGGGAAAAAGAGCAACCACCACCAATGTGGGGAAGTGGGATGGAAAGAAAGGCAAGCAAGCAGCCACAGATAACGCAGAAGGCTTGCAAAAATATAAACAATCTGGCAAGAAGGAGGACTTAGACGGCTATATTTAAGCAGCAGAAAAAGTTATAACGGGAGACTTGGAGAAGGGCGGAAAAAAGCCAATATTGAAATATGACAGGAACGGGAGAAGTTGATGTTTCCTTCCAGACACACACACACACAAACCTTGGAGAAACAGAAAACCAGTGCTGGCTGTCTTTTTCAACAGGGATCCAACTGCCTGTAGTGAAGAAGCCTGGGTCCCCAGTTAAAGGACAAGTGACATCTTTTGTCTTCTTCAAGTCAATGGGGTGTTGGATGTTAAAGGGAACTTGTGGGGTTCCAGCCTTCCCAGTTAGTAAGTACATTTTGGGGGATAAAATTAGAACACAAGGTTGCTGGGCATGGCAGTGTATGTAATCCCAGCACTCAGGAGGTAGAGGCATAAGATTAGAAATTCAAAGTCATCTTCAACTTCCTATCAAGTTTGAGACCAGCCTGGTCTTCCTAAGTCTGTGGCTTGAAAAACTAAACAACGGGCCAGTGAATATGGCTCAGTGTAAAGTTCTTACCTAACATGAATGTAGGCCTGGGCTCAAACCCCCAGTACCAAAAATAAATAAATAAGGTAATAAAGAAAGCATTGCTTACTGACTCAAAAAGCACAAGCAGCTGAGTTAGATCTCAACATGCAGAGAAAAAGCTACATGTAAGGCCACTGTTAGAAAGGAAGAAAGGATGTCCCTGGGGCTTACTGGTCATCTAGCCTACAAACAACTCCCACTGTCATGAGAAACCCTGTTAAAAAAAAGAAAAAGAAAAAAAAAGATGAATGGCACCTGAGGGATGATAGCAGAGGTTGTGTTCTGGCATCCACAGACATGTGCACAGAGAGGGGCAGTGGGGTGAAAGTGAGGCACCTACCTACCTACACACACACACACACACACACACACACACACACCACAAAGAAAATAAAGGACATTGGTCAGACCCTCTGATTCTGAGGTCTTTCCCCAGGCTGACAGCTTGAGTTGAATAGGTGGCTGGTGACCGGGAACCCACCTCTGACATCACATTGTAAAGCCCACCTGGGGCCAGTTGCTGCTGGCAGTCAGGGACTTTATGGGGATCCACCTCAGTCCTTAATGCCAACCTTGTTGATATATGTGAACCAACATGAGGAGCCATGACAGAGACCACATTTGGAGACCACAAGAGTCCCCAAATTTAATACTGTGCTGCCACCTGCCACGACAGAAACAGACTGACATGGTGAGTAGATTAAGTCTTCCACCTATGTGTGGAACTTCCACTGCTCCAGGTAGGACTAGTCACATTGTTAAGGCTCTAAGTCTTTAACTGATTGCTTACAAAAAAGAGTAAAACACCACCAAATCTTGGGGGAGGGGTCCTTATCTGTGTTCGCATATGGAGGCCAGAGATGGAAGACAGAAACTTTCCTTTATCACTCTCACCTCATTTTTTGGGACAGGGTCCCTCACTGAATCAGAAGCTCACAGATTCAGTGAGGCTGGGTAATTAATCAGCTCCAGGGATCCATTCACTTGCATCCACTCCCCAGAGCTAAGACTGTGGATATACAGGTTCATAGCCAGCTTCTAACATGGGTGCTGGGGTTCCAAATTCAGGTCCTCATACCTAGTATCAGAAATTTGACTGACTGAGCCATCTCCCCAGCCCCCACCAAACCCTTTTGAAGGAGAAGACTGCATTCTCAAGCTCCAGAGACAACAAGAAGGGAATAGACGGCTACAAAACACATGACCAATACCGTTTTATTATCCACCGAGCCTGTCTATTCTCAAAGTGTCAAATACAATGACGTACTAATAAGAGAATCTAATGTGTTGAGAGAAGGGGGAGATGTGGGACCAAAACACAGAATCATCAGCTCATGAGTCACAGGTCACATGGAAACAGGAGCTCAGAGAGTCCCCACATCTGAAAGGCATTAAGATGCAAAAAAGGGAAAAGCTGGAACCAACTTAACTGCCTGTGAACAGCGTTATTTGGCATGGCCACCAATGAATGATTTTTTTTTTGTGGTGGTTTCTAAAAAACAGAAAACAAACAAACAGAAACATTTTACATGGACCCAAAAATGCTATGTGGGACAGTATGGTTACCAAGATCTACTTAGTCAAAATCAGCAAATAATCAAACGGTGCTTACACGGTAAAAAAGGCTATCTCTCCACACGCTAGCCAGACTCGAAGAAACCTGAACTGAGTTTGTTTTCAGGAGAGTCTAGTGAGGAACAGACTTACTTTGAGGTGTGAACTCTTTGACTTTCTTGGGAAAATGGGAAGGTATTAATTTTTAAAATCCTGCCATCCAGATTTAATAGCACAGGCCTTTAGTTCTAGTTACTTGACAAGCTGAGGCAAGGGGATCGTTTCAATTCAGGAGCAAGCTCAAGGCCAGCTTCAGCAAGAGCAAAATTCATCTTGGGGGCGGGGGGGGGGGCCTATCATTACAACATTCCCCATCTTTTGCCAAACAGCTGCATTTCAAACAATGTACCCACTGGCCAAGTGGGGCTAGAAGAGAAGAGGAGGCAGCCATGGCAGCTACAGTCATTCACAAAAATACACCCAGCCCAACCAGACACTTCTGCTAATGCAGGAAAGAAGAACCCTAGGTCCCAGGTGGACAAGGCTGACAACAGTATAAACACGAACTCAGAGTCTGACACACCCAACAAGGTAGAAAGCACTGGAAATGACACTGAGAAGTGTCTCAGCAATAGGGGCACCTCATACAGAAACTGTTTTCTGTTTTAAAGGAATCCCTTCCTGGATGATTGGATGACAGATCCAGGGTGAAACTCTGGCTTTTGAACCTCATGGCCCCTTGTAAGAGGCCACTTGTTTGTTTCCCAGCCGCCCAGAAGCTCTGCCCCGAAATAACCACACAGAAACTGTAT